TCTTCAGTTGCTGATCTTTAAAATTATATGGAGCTCAGGCGGGTGTTGAGTTGTCTGCTCAACCTTGTTTGTCCACAAATCTAGAGGAGGTCTGAGGGTTCCCCACCTCCAGAGGTACTATAAAGCATCCCAGCTAATACAATTTACGCAAATATTTTCTTTGCCATACTGACCCAACTGGATTATGCTTGAGGCTCAAGTGGGCGCTGCACACCTAGTCAACTTCCTGTTATATCTTCCTTCTAAGGATTTTAGAGCCATCTTGAGTCATACACTATCACCCTCTCCGGTCAACCCCCCCCCCCCCCTTAAGCAAATTATGGATGAAATATCAAGCAGAACTTTTTTCTAGGTGTATGAGATGAGCTGGGACAAAAGGAGGTATCTCGTAGTTGTACTACTTCTTTTCTAGCCCTCTGGAGAAACTTGCATATCAGAGAGCTTGGGAAACAGAAATGGGGGAGGACATAGACGAGGATGACTGGGCTAGATGGTCTGATATGGTGCACAGGGGGATTATGAACACTTTGTTAGTTGATGCTATCTATAGAGTATTTTTCCAGTGGTATCTAGTCCTTTCTATAATTGCAAACATTTACCCAGATGCTTTGCCCTCTGTTTTTTTTAGGGTACCATGTATTGTGTGGTGGTCTTGCCCGAGGGTCCAATGTTTTTGGATTAGAATGTGTACACTCGTTCACTTAGTGACTGGGGTCAATATACCTAAAAACTTTAAGACGGCACTTTTTAGTGACCTCTCGGATTAGACCCTTAAAACACTTAGGCATTCTATTATATTATATCCCTTCCGGCAGCTAAAATGTCCATAGCCAGAGTGTGTAAATCCCTGGCAATAAACTACTCTGTCACTAAAAATACAATATTGTGGATCATGCTCCATGCAAAATTGACCTTGGCATTTTTAAAGACAAACAATCAAAAGTTGAGAGGGTTTGGAATCCCTGGATTAGATATTTGTAGCCACCAATATAAATATTAGGGGCGGGTCAAAAGGAGCACTATTCTCTCATTTCTTTTTCTCTTTTTCTCTCTATCTTTTTTCATACCTTTTCTCTATTCCCACCACTTTCCACGCTATGTGCAGGACCGGTTGGCTATCTGACTCTGTATACTGCTCTAGCCATCACTAAGTTTTTGGTCTCTTAGACACACCAGGTTTTATCATATACACTGCAGCCGGACCTGGCTTTCCACCATTTCAGTGTTGCTGTCAGGGCGGGGCTGTGGAACGGACAGGTAGGCCTAGTGGCAGGGTAATGCACTGGCTGACGACAACCACCACCAACAGACCGAAGTCCCTCAGGGCGCGGAGTCTAAGTCCCAGGCTGCCCTTCACCAGGGCCCCTGATGGTGGGGATGGACTTGACGCAGCCAGGAACCAGGTCGCGGCCCCCGAGACACCCCGGCTGCGGTAATGGCCGCCGCCAATGGCGTGTAGTTGGTGAGAATGAAAATAGCGTAGTCAGGCAAGCCGGGTCGACAACAACGGGACAAAACGGTACAGAACAGTAGACAGAGAATCACAGGTCACGGGCCGGGTTCAGCAACGGAAGGTAAGATCGAAGGAAAACACAGAGAATGGTCTTAATCACAAGCCGAGTCAGATACCAGAAGAGTCTCGAGCGTATACACAGAGCTGTAGGAAGACAGACACAAGACACAAGTGCAAAGAGCATGTGCGGGCCACAGGCTTATATGTCATCAGCCACACCCCTCTGGGGGATGGACCCCAGAGACCTGAAGGCATAAAAGGATTCCCACCATGCACAGCAGAATCCAAGATGGACGCCAGCACATGGAGTAACAAAACCTCAGGGAAAAGGTAGGACCTTGACAGGTGCCCACCTCAATTTCATACACCCTTGTCCTACTTCCCTCCCCTCCCCCTCCTCAATTTATCACCAAGGCTTCTACATTATACACCCAACAGTTGAAGTGATCATGCAGGCTGATCTCTGTATGGAGCTTATATGTGTTAAAGGTTGTATCTTGTACTTAGGTCCTGACAGTCATATATGTATGATGCTTTTGATTTCTGGAAACCATCTGGATGAACTTTAAATTTCATATACTTTTATACTAATTTGGAGTTTATTTAAAAATGTAATAAAAACTATTTAAATAGAAAGTATAAATGTAAATGAGGAATAGCATAGACTTCTATGCAGGTATACGTACCTGCTCTGTGCAGTGGTTTTGCACAGAGCAGCCCTGATCCTCCTCTTCTCAGGTTCCCTGCCCACGATCCTGGCCCCTCACACACATACATGTCCATTCACACATGGTGCTGTGTTTTGGCCCCACCCTCTTTCTCTCCTCATCGGTTCACTGGCAGTGATTGACCTCAGCGGGAGCCAATGGTTCCCTCTGCTGTATCCGCAAATAAGCAGAGGGAGTCCTAGGATAGCCTAGACTCCAGTGCACATCTCTGGATTGAGAGGGGACTTAGGTGAGTATTGGGGGTGGGGGGGCTGGGGGGGAAGCTGCACAGAGAAGGTTTTTACCTTCATGCATAGAATGCATAAAGGTAAAAAACCTTTCGGCCTTTATAATCACTTTAAAGTGGTTGTAAACAGTTACATATACTTGGGAAAGTGACTAGGCTTAGGTGATGCACAGCGATTAAACAAATCCTCCTACACATGTTGTACCTGTTTATCTGCAGTCCTCTTGTATCTACAGCTGTTCAAAGTGCAGAATTTATACAACTTGTCCAATGTTTCAGAAAGCAGGTGGCAGGGAGCTAAAGCTACACTCTGCGGACCTCAGAGCTGATTGGAGGGAAGGGTCACCCCCCCCCCCCCCCCTTCACACAGCACACAGGAACAGAGCTGAGGCTGTCAATCATGGGCTGTGTGTTGGAACTCTTTCCACTGTCACTTTTTAACCTTTTGGTTTCAGAAAAAATTGTCAGAAGTGACTCATTCAGATAGCAGGGGAACAAGGCAGCAGAGTAAAATGACACCTGGTGCTCTGGATTGAGACAAGAACACACTATAGAGGAATATGCTTTTGTTCATATTTCATGTCAGAGGTTTACAACCACTTTAGTTATTTTAATTGTGTCCCACATCTTGCTTTTGAGCATAGGGCTAAGGTTTGAGGGGTCTAAAGATTGAGCCAGATCCACGGTATAGTGTCTAGTGCAATGGTAGAATTTTATATGGTGCCTCTTCCCTTACTCAGAAGGGTGTGTCTCTCCTTTTTATGTAAAGCACCAATATGGAAGCTAATGTAAGTATTGAATATACTTAGGAATCCCTGATCCAGTAGTGTGTGTGTGTGTTGTAGATAGTTTAGCTAATCTAGGGTAGCGGTTTCATAAATAGGATAAGATGTGGTTTTGGAGCGATCAGAGTGCAAAGTAAGGGACAGTAACCTGGGAGGGTTTGGAAATAGAAGGTTGGCATGGTAATTTTTGGTGGCATAAATGCATCAAACCAGGATGTATTGGGTGACTTCCAAGATTGAAATGTCTTGTTTTTACAAATTGCTTTGAGTGCTTAAACACCATATTGGAAATGTATGGTCGATTGCCTGTCTTTTGTTGACTTGTAGCCTTCTTTGTGTAAACATCTAATTTTACAGCTGTGTTCTAACCTTTCAACAACATATAACATTTCTTGTTACTTTTGATTATAGAATATATGCAAATATATACTAATACAGAGTATTTTCCTGATAAAATATACATTCACAGCCCTGATAAGTCGCTTTAAATATAATTTTCCATAGCTGTCTAAGCCTTTTGCACAGTACTGTATATAGCCTAGATGATAGGGTTAACATTACTAGTATTTATTAGTTTCTGGGTTGCCTGAAATGTGGCACAATGGCTTTATATTGGCACAAGTACTACCATTATGAATGTAGATTTTTCATCCTGTCCATAGGATATTTAAGCAGCTACTGATTATATGGTACGGGTTTCTGCACTTAATACATAGCCAGATTGCTGTTAGAATAACTCTTCACCTAACCATTGTAATTTTAGATTTAGTCTGCAAAACCTTTTTTAACAACACTGAGGAAAGTGTTTATTTCCTCCTTATGAGACACCGTCAGTGCATGAAGTAGACATAACTATTTCAAAAGTTGTGGTCCATCTGTAAATGTGCAATATGAAAACCTTTTTTAGGACTTTCATACGAGACGTGGTTAAATTAAAAGGCTGTTAATGATGATACCTGTCTGCTTGGTATCTCTTGGGTATTGATTAAGGTATGCTGTAGATCAGGGGTCTCCAAACTGCAGCCTGAGGGCCAGATGCAGCCCTTAGCTAGCTCTAATCTGGCCCTTTGGGCACTATTGCTCCCAATGATATGAGGCACCATTCCTCCCATTGACACCAAAAATGGGGCGCTATTTCTTCCACTAATACCAATGATGGGACACTACCCCACCTCCTACTGACCACCAACCCTGAGGCCATGTTTAGTCTCACTAATGCTAAGCCTGGGACATTTTCTGCCTCCCTAAAGTCTGAAGGACAGTAAACTGGCCCTTTGTTAGAAAAGTTTTTGGAGACCCCTACACTAGATGACTTGTTTGATGTTCATCGTATGTTTACACAATGAGGATGATTTACTAAAGCAAATATACTATGCACTTTGCAGTTGGACTGATTTTCCATAGAGTTTAGTGAATGAGATCAGGCTTCACTAATTTTCCCTATAGTTTAGTGAATGAGATGAGGCTTAACTTTGTAAAGAATACATCACATTTACTAAGCTCTGGGGAAAATGAGTACAACTGCACTTGCAAAGTGCACAGTCTATTTGCCTTTAGTAACCCCTATATTTCCTATTACTGTTCCCTCTAACATGACTTTGGAATCTGATACTAAATGGGTACAGCTTAGAGTTCAGCAATATACTGTATATACATACAATAGAATTCAGGAAAGCAAATGCAAATAAATGTTGTTATATTTTCACAATATCCATATCTTTCATCCACATTTTTATTTATTTTTTTAGGACTGGGGACCATGGGAAGAGGAATAGTCATATCGCTATCAAAGGCAAATATCCCTGTCATTGCCATTGAGCAAGACGCATATCAGTTGGAAATGGGGAAGAAAGCAGTGAATAGTCTGCTAGAGCGTGAAGCTGAAAAGTTAAAACAGCAAGGATTTTCTCCTGGTAGTAAATTAGCCTCTGTTCACTTCACACTTGCGTTTGGAGAACTTCAAGATGTTGATCTTGTTATTGAAGCAGTCTATGAAAATATGGAGCTGAAAAAGGAGATATTCCGTAAACTGTCTTCTGTCTGTAAGTCTAATGCTTTCCTGTGCACTAACACATCTGGACTTAATATTGATGAAATTGCATCTGTCACAGACCGACCAAACCAAGTCATTGGTACTCACTTCTTTTCCCCTGCCAACATAATGAAACTCTTAGAAGTGGTGAGAGGTCAGCAAACATCACTCACTACCATTGCCACAGCTATGAACCTTGGGAAAATACTGGGAAAAGTAACAGTGCTGGTTGGTAACTGCCCGTTGTTTGTTGGTAATCGAATGTTGGGTCCATACCTTGAACAAGCAAGTTACCTACTGGAAGAAGGATGCTATCCAGAAACCGTGGACCGAGCCATGGAAGAGTTTGGCTTTGCCATGGGTCCTTTTCGGATGATGGATCTGGCTGGTTTGGATGTTGGCTGGAGGTCAAGAACAGAAAAAGGTCTAACTGGGGCCAACGTTCCTCAGGGTACTCCTGCTAGAAAGCGGCTAGGAAACAGGTACAGTCCCCTTGCTGACTTACTGTGTGAATCAGGAAGGTTTGGACAAAAGACTGGTAAAGGTTGGTATCAGTATGAAAAGCCAGGGGGTAGAACTGCAAGACCAGACCCATGGGTGAAGGATTTTCTGCAGAAATATAGAAAAACTCATCAAATTAAACAACAGCCTTCAAATCAAGAACAGATTGTGGAAAGATGTGTCTATGCACTTGCTAATGAAGGATTCCGCATCTTAGAAGATGGAATAGCTTCATGTCCAGAGGATATTGATGTTATATACAACAATGGCTATGGCTGGCCTAAGTATAGAGGAGGTCCCATGTATTATGCTTCTTTTGTTGGCTTACCTAAAGTGTTTAACACTTTGGAAAAATATTACAAGGCCAACGCAGATGTCCCAAGTATGAAGCCTGCCTTCTTACTGAAGAAGCTGGCAGCTGTAGGTGGGCCGCCCATCAAAGAATGGAGATTACAGGTTGGGAAACCTGTTAACAAGCTTTAATTGGCTGGACAGAGATTTTAAAATGGGACATTTTCAAATTACACAATGCTAAACTGATATATAGCAGTGAAATATTGTTGATGGTAACTCTTATTAAAGATCAATTTACTACAAAATACCATTCCTAACTAACTTGCTAATTATAGGACTTCCAAATAACTGAGATTCGGAAGGTGTTTATTAAATTCAGATGCAAACAATTATTTGAAATGATTAAAAAATACACAACTTTAAAGTGTCAATCTATTTTTATAGTAAAATGAAATGTTTAAAGCAATTGTATTTTGTGTAGTTTTTTTAAATGTATGATATGGTATCTAAATGCAGATTGTTTAGAAGTTTCTGAGTTTGACCTTTTTGAAATACAAAATAAAAACAGCAGTTGATTAAAAAAAAAAAAAAAAAAAAGAGTGTGAAATGTACTGCATTTCAGGAAAAAGTATACCATAAGAGCTATCCAGCAGCCTTTAAGTGGTTTAAAGCAGGGGTATTGCATTAAAATGCATGGGCGTCCAGTCAGTAAAATTTTCTTCCAGCAGAGGTGCAAAACTTTGCACGATGCTCACATCACAACAACTCCCCTCTTCTTTTACATCAGAGTCCCCTTCTTACATCATTGTCCTCTGCCCCTTTCATATCATAGCCCCCCTCCTTTACATCAGTGTCCTCAGTTGGCCTTCTCTCCCTCCCCCCCATCACATACATCACATTCTACCCTTCAAATCACTTTACCCCTTCACATCACATTCCCCTCCTTTACATCACGGACTCCCCCACCCCTTTACATCACAGCCCCCCTTCACATCAGTCTACAATTTACATCAGTGCCCCCCTTTCAAATCAAAGTCACCCAATCGCATCACGGTCTCCCCACTCCTCCATTTACATCACAGCCTCCCCCGTCACATTACAGTTTTCCCCCCTTTTACATCATAGCCCTCCCTTTAACCTCACAGTACCACCCCTTCACACCACTGCTTAACCCCCCCCCCCTCACATCACAGTACCCTTTTATACATCCATTTCCTCCTCATCACACCCCCGTTTCAAATCAGTTTCCCCCCTTTACATCTCAGCCCTCTCTTTCATTTAACAGTACTCCCCCTTCATATCATAGCCCCCTCCCTTTACATCACATCCCCCATTACATCAGTGTCCTTAATCCACCCCTTCACATCACAGGTCCCTTACTTCCCGTCACAATCCCTTCTTTACACCACAGTTGCTCCCTTCACATCACAGTATCCCCCTTTACATTGGTGTCCTTGGTCCACCCCTTCACATCAAAGTCCCTTGTTTACATCATGGCAACATCACTGCATATTATTTTCTCTGCCGGCTTCCCTTAGTAAACATGCCGCACCTGGGACCCGAAGACTGATGAAGAACTGGCCCAGGTGAGGGTGGTGCTGGATCCTTGGACTGGTAAGTGTCCTGTCAGCAGCTAGAGTATTTTTTTTTTTAAAGAGAATAAAAACCGCTTTAACAAGTGAGTTCTTGTTAACAAGTAAGTGATTGGTCGTTAGGACTGCCCTGCAGCCTAGCAACCAATCACCCACATTTAGGCAAAAAAATTAGGCAGCTCCCACACTCCATCTAGATTTAGTGCGCCTTCAGCCTGATTCCCTACTGTTAGGATGACAGTAGCAGTGGCAGGGAGATCCTGGAGAAGAATCTACAGAGGGACCAGATGAGGTAATCTAAAATGCATTCACATAATATTACATTTATAATTGTGATTTCTATTTCAGTTGGTACTGGTCTTAACCTAAAGCACTTAACAATAAACAAATGTTTGGATCTGTAAAAGGAACTGCTATAGTTACCTGTTCATAAAATCTAGCCATAATAATTATGAATATAAATTAGTTTATCAACTTGCCTTCAGTTGGGGATCCAAAACATTACATCTTACAGAATGCTGTATGGGTATTCCATAAATGTGCAGGAATGGGAAGTAGAAATATTGTCTGTAACCAACCTATTCATCTTTGCAATCCTGTACATGGAGCCTTTACACCTACAGAAACCCTGCAGTCTGTCATACCAGACGCCTTGTGCATCAACAAGACTTCTGCAGACAACCACCAGACTTTTAGATAGGTTCCCAGCAGACTTTTCAAAGTTAAAATGTGCATTATGAGGTATATAGGAATAGGGAATCACACCAATATGATTGGGAGACTCAAAATCCATTTCAGCCACACAGCACATTCTCCCAGAGGGAAGATGAGTAAGAGGAAAGTGATGTGGCAAATGTGTATAATGTGAAAATTAGGATCTCCACCAGCACATCTTGGTATAGTTAGTTATTATCTTGTCCTTTATTTACATGAAGCAACATGCATCACAGACCAACGTTGCAGGACCTTTCAGGATCCCTTTATTCAGGCACTGTATAGACTATGCACTTACATGAACTTCTTTACACTGAGGTACCATCTTGAAAGTGAGCAGTACAGGGTGGGGCAGGTATTATTGGTGCATTAAAAGAGCTAGTAATCAGGGTAGCAGCAGCAGGAGACCCAGGCTTAGCAAACCAATAAGTTAATATTATATAGAGTATGTTGAAAAAGGTCTGTACTTTGGAATATTCCAATAAAGCTTTTCATTTCACTCAGATTAGAATGGTAATTTATAGTATGCTTTCCTAAAACTCACGTTTTTTTTTTTTTTTTTTCTACAAATCTTGGCAACCCAAAATCCCAAGAGGTCTGATCTGTTTAATGGAAATCCTAAGTCTTTTTCCATCTTCAATCAATAAAACCAACTAGTTGTATCTCTTTCTTTAATCATTTTCTGTGATGTAAAACTATTTCTGAGATGGAAAGCCCTGAAGCATGACTAAAGCCGGTCATAGATGAGTTGAATCTCGGCCAGTTCAGCAGGGGTTTAGCCATGATTCCATCCATCTACTTGCAGGCTAATTGTACTGAGGTTGATCCATTCAGTACAGCCATCCTGTTAGATTTTTTTGCATGCGATTACTGCCAGCGGCTATAGTTGCTAGCAATGTTCACTGTGTTCTGCTGGCAAGAAAGGCTTCCTGTCAGCAGAATACAATAGCGCTGCGGAAGGGATTGTCCCATCAACAATGACTGTGTTGCAGGAAAGAAATTCGCATCATCTATGGCTTGCCTAAGGTTAGTCATACACAGCTCGATTTTCATTTGATTCCCACATCTGATGTCCATTTATTGTAGTCAGCAAATGTGATAACCATGGCTACCTATCAGATGCATTCACTGTTCAACTGATACAGGGTGATTCCAGGGCCACCCATGGCTCTGGTTTGGGCCTATTTAACAGGAATTGGCTAAACTTCAAACCATCTATAGCTTGCTTAAGACATCCTTGTAATGGTCAAGGAAATTGTAGCTGGCAGCTCCAGGGCAGAGATCTTGTTTGTGAGATGCAGGATGTTGGTAGGTCATTTTGACCTCCTAGCATCCAGATTCTAAAATATAATTGGGTGAACATGGCTGTTATTGTCTGTATGTGTCGTACAACTGTCCTAGATTTGCTTTGTTTTCACTTTTTGCTTGTTTTTACTACATACCCATTTCTTTAGTCAGCTATTTTTTGCTGCCAGTTCTTGCTTTTCTTATTCTGTTCCAATATATAAACTCCAATCACAATGTGCTGTGGTAGAGAATATGCTACAATACATTCATCAGTCTCAGCTAGCAGGAAACAATACATTTGTCCCAATGTCTCATTCAGCTGTCAGATCTTTAAGTTTAGATACAGACATGTCAGACGATTGTTTTAAAACATATTGTACACTTTATTTAAAGAAGATGAACTCTGATTAGCAGAGACTAACAACTACAATCCATTGCATCACTAGTAGATAATTGAAAAAGTTAAACTTGATCATCATACCCAGGTTTTCTCCGTCCTTCATTTTTTTGGTCCATGCACAATGCACAAAAAAAAAAAAAAACCGGTTCCCTTGGCATAGAGCATTTTTGTACACAAATTTAGGTGCGTTTAACAAATTTTTTTTTCTGTATGAAAATTCCTCTAAAAATGCAATCCAGAAGGGTTTTTTTTCTGCCTCTAAATGCTGAGCTTAAAATATGCCTCTAAACATCCTAATGTGCATGGACCTACAGTTTGAGCTGCTTGACAGGCAGACCACCCCCCCCCCCCCCAAAACTCCAGTAGAAGCAGTGTTTTTTTTTAAGCCCAGTGTGCATGGACCCAACTCTATTCTACAAAATATTTTTTTGTAGGAATCATAAAGCATGGTGAGCTGCAAGATATTTTTCATTCCATTCATCTCTACATCTGTCTCTACTGTAAAGTAACAGAAGGAGGAGGTGTATGGCAAGGAGACAATAGCATATTGACTACTATAATGTAGGAAGGTCAGAAAGGCAAAGACAAGACTCGCATTGGATTGGCATCCTCTCAAGTTAAAGGCTGGGAGGTAAGATCTCTAGAAGGTTGCTCCAAATATATATCCACTCCCTCAGTTTACATTTTTGGAATTTTTCTGCTTCTCCAAGCTATGGACTGAAGTGTGATCTCTATAACTGATCCAGTTGTGACAAGATAGCTTTAATTTACTGTCTCAGTAGAATTAGCAGACTGTGACTCAGTCCAAATGACATCTTGCAGATTGTAGAAAGATTCAATCCAAAACTTGTGCAGATCTTCACAGATGAAGATTAGAGAGGTCAAAAAACCCTAGTATGTCTAGCTACAACAGCTAGAACATAAACTAAAGGCACACTGAAAAGAGGGTGAGACTAGCTATACAGAGCAACTCCTAGCTACGGAGGGTGAAAGGGACAAAATTATTTAAAGGCAAACAAGCAACAATACATGCGTAACATGATACTCCCTGTTGAAATCTATGAGTTCAAATATTAAGCAATTGAGAATCAAGTTCAAATGTGAAGAGAAGACTAAAACTTTAACATACTGTAAATCTTTAAAATCACTATTGGTGTCTGTAAGATGGTATAGAGGATAGTTTATGATGGTATCTT